CACACACACACACACATACACACATACACACACCTGCTCTACAATCTAAAAAAACAAAGCATTTCATTTTTTTAAAAGGCAGACACCATTGTTGTTGTTGTTTCAGTTTTCAGTTAAATACTTAAGGCTAAAATCCATTGATGTCGTCACTTGTTGCAACAATTGAGGCTGCTATGACAGCGTAAGTTACACTATAGCCCTGCTTTACGGCATTTACATCGCCTAGAACTACACTTTTTGACACCAGGACAATTGCATCTTGTGAAGCTTTGTCCACGTGAAGAGGATTGAAAAATCACCGCCGAACGCAGTGAAACTATTTTTTCGGTGTGAATGTCGTCAGTGTTCAGAAGACGCTCAGGGCACAGATCGAACTGATTTCCGGAATACAAACCAGCTTTTACGGCAATCTTCTTGTCTGTCAATTATGACACCAAGGATGTTTCTGGGATCGCCTCTTCCTCGATCAACAAGTGGAACTGGCACACACACGTTGTCTCCTTGTTTCCCAGCTGGCATATCTATGTTACAGTCAGAACACGTAGATCAATATAGTTAATACGCGTAATCACTGAATATTTCAGTGAAAACGCGTAAACCCTGTACAGTGGCGGGGCTATTACGTGAATTCACTGAATGCTTAGTAGTAAAAACACGTAAAATGATAGATCTAATTTTAGGGATTTCGCGTAATCACTAGAAATTTCAGCGATTACGTGAAATCCCTGAGTGAAACGGGGATTACGTGTATTCACTAAAATATTCAGTGATTACACGTATTCACTAGGTACGCATTCTTACTGTAACATATACATGTAAAACCCTTAGTATTGTATTAGTCTGTGCGGGGATTTTTTTTTTGTTAGAACAAGAACGGTACTTGCGTGGTAGTTTTTTTGTTTGTTCATATCTATTTTCTTTTTTGAACTGACTGCATGTGCCGCAAGACTGGGTTGTTTTCAGTCCAGCGGTCAGTGGGCAACAGTGGTTTTTTTAGAGACTATTTTTAGTAATTGTGATATATAATTAGTACAATTTCTTCCTTTACAGTCTTTGAAATCACCTGTATTTCAATTTGTTGTCGCTTTTTCATTTATCACCATGGTTAGATTACTTATTTTACAAACCAGAAAGAAAAACTCCCCAAAAACATTGCCTTAAAACTACTGAACTGTTAACTACTGAGATAATGTTGACATGTCAGAAATGATGATGATGATGAT